TAATATATATTATAAAATAATTTAAATTTTGGTTTTTAACTTTTTACAGGTCATTTCTGACCTATAAATACTACCTGTACACACAGAATGCTATATGAAATGTGATATATCTATAAATACATTAATAAATATAAAATGGGAAAAAAAAGATACAAAAATGTTGTCACCTCCCATGAGCCAAACAACACTTATTTCTGAATGATGTGTTTGTACTTGTCTTTCTTGTCTCTCATCAGTCATTTACATCTGCTATCATGCTTTGAAGGTATATATTGTTCTTCAACATAGCATTTTTTGTAAGAGTCAGTTCAATCCTACTAAGCAGTCACACCTACTCAAATGAGTCAAACGAAAGCAGTATTTTTTATGAATACCAGTGTTTGCCTGGGAACATCTGAGCACGCTACCATCAAATTCTCATTTTAACTTCATATATTCTAACAGCTTTTTCTCTTCTTGTGTTTGTATAATCTGCAATCTTCAGTTGTGAGTTTTTTGCCTCACATGATCAAAATACCTGCTGTGCTACTATTTCTTTCAATAGGAGACATGTGGTGACAGATCCTTGCCCCAAAACACGAAATAAGCAAGTCAGTACAACTCTATTGTTACCTGATCAAGAATGTGCCAAAACCAACATAATACACTAGTGTAGGTATTACTAAAAAAAAAGAGCGATCTTTCTTACTAATGTACAAAAGTACTTGGATGTAGAATGCATATCACAGCTTCCTTTGAAAAATGCCACTTGAGTCAGGATTTTCATCCCCATATCCTCACATGAATGCCCAAAGAATAGTGTGGAGAATCCCAAAATCTGGTACTATTGCTCCTCTTCACAAGCTCAGAGGCAGAAGTCTAAGGAGAGCCTGGAATGCTAAGTACCTACCAAAACTATTAAGCATATTTTTCAATCAATAAAGAGATGATGCTGAGATAATAGTAAGTTGGAAAAGGATTATGAAGATCCAGAGAGTACTACAATGCATTTAGCAGAAGCTTTAGAGCATTTTGTCTCTGGATTTGTACAAGACTTCTTAACTTCAAAGTGCTCATGCAACTGTGTTATTTGGTGTCCTATGGCATGTCTCTTGTTAAAAGTCAACTGTACCAAATCCAAGTTGCTCAATAATTCACTTTTTATGAAAGTTTAGGTGCCAAGTGAAAATGTCTAACTATCTCTGTGACACTATGTATTCAAGGCCCAGATGCCCTGTAGAGGCAATATGCAGTGGCAAGCCACTGCCTCATTCAACAGATTTCAACACGAGATCACATGAATTCCAGAGGACAGTGAGGCACAATCATTTGATGTGTTGTATGCAGTCATTCATTCAGCTTCTAAGAATGGACCCTTTACAGTCATGAAGTCTTACTGCCTCTCTGAGTTGTCTGGATTGTTCCCTGCAGCATCTCATGTCCAGCCTGCCAAAAACAACGTCACTGAGCGGCTGACAGTTGTCCTGCTCTACATAAAGCACCAGATCTAATGCTCAATGGATCATCAGATCTAATGCTCATCCACTCCCTTCAGCTAAGAAGTATTTGATACCTATGTCATGTTAGCTGATTTTTAACTTCCCTCCACTGAGCATGACTATATACCTCTCAACCATGAAGACTAGAGTCAGATGTCTCCTGAAACAGCTAATTTGAAATAAAATTTTACCACTACTAGTGTCCCTTGACCATAAAGACTGAGTTTTATTTGACATTTTGGTCTTAATTATGATTTATTAGGTGTGGAATGGTTAGATGCTTTCTATCTCCATTAAATCTTAATGCCTTTTCCTACTGAAAGGGTTCATGGAAATAAATGCAGTTAATGGACTCTGCTATTAGGTACATGTTGCTTGGAGATGTAATAATGATACTTCAGAGTCTCTCCCACAATTTGCTATTAATATTAAGGAAATGCAAATTTCACAATCACATTTAAAGTAATTTTTGCTAGTCAAACTATTAAGGTTTAGTTTCAAGGAGGGAATTGTACTTAAAATTATCATCTCATGAATATCATGGTACATGATTATTTGTAACACTGTAACATTACTGATAAGGCATAAAGACTTTAAAATACACCCTATTAGGTATTACTATAACATTCAGTCCAAATAAAATTGGACTTGAGCCAACAAAATTAAAACCTTTTTCTAAAAATTATGTACTGAACAACTTCCTTTTTCTTCTAGAATGTCTTTTACTAGTTGAAGGCCAAATTTGAAGTAGGCTGTACACACTTCAGTCTAAGCAAAAACCATTTGCTGACCATACCTCCTTTTACATTTTTAACTTAATAAATAACCATATGCATGAAGTCTAGCTCAAACTGTACTTTAAACCCAAGTGGTAGGTTATTTCTTTTTTTCTCACACATTTACAGAGCTGAAAAATAAAAGAAAGTCTGATATGATCTTCATTTTAAAAGTTACTCCATTTCTGAGTTTTATCCTGTTGTATTGCTAAAGAACTTCTGCCTAGCTAAAGGCTGTCCTTCAAAAAAGCATATAGACTTCAGCTGAGGACAAGTGATGGAAAATCGACAGCCTTTCAGAATAAGTGTTCTTATTGCTAACTGCTTTCACTGCTGAAAAGTGAGCTTATGTTCTCATTTCCAGCCACTGCTTCTTTGAGTTTCTCCTCTACCAGACTTACACACCAAATTCAGTTTGGCCAATTTTAAATTTTGAATATGGAATTGGTTTGGAGTCCATCTCCTCTCCTTAAAAAGAAAGCAGAAAAAAGAAAGAACAGAAAATCAAAACAAACGAGTAGGAAAATTTGACAGTAAAAATGGAGAGAAGGTTCTACCAGAAATTTCAAGTGTTCACATTTAAAAGCTCACATTACATCATTCTAACAAGTTTAGCACTTACTGTAACAAATCACCAACTAAGGGTCCCATGGAATGTTGTGGGAAAACAATGTAAAACAGTGTAGGTATTATCAATCTTTATGAACCTCAAGTAACAAAAGTACCAGCAACTCAAGGAAGCACTAGGGTTGCAAATTCACAGATACTGAAATGCAAATCTCACTGACATGAAACATGATTAATATCTACACATTAATGCTGTAATGAAAACACTACCTAAATAAATATTAGAGTTCCCATTTTGCAGATACAGAACTGAACTGGAACAATTTCACACGTTTACAAACAGAATTGGCCTTAGCCAACAGGACAAGACAAAGGAAGCTTTTTGATCCCATACACTGCTCATCTCATTAGACAACAAATCCTTCAGAATAAATGAGATCATTAAGATTCATGCTTTAGGAAGACTAATGACAGATCTACTCTATATTGCTGTAGTTACAAAAGCACAATAGAATTACACGGATTTTCCCTATTAGGAGAGAAAAGCACAGGTTGAAATGACTAAAGTAGATATAAGACCTGACAAATTTGTAGTTCAGGACTTTTGAAGTTTTGATGTAACTGTGAATTTTTTCTTATTTTTAAAAAAAGACAAGCATGTGAAATCAATAATGTATCCATTATGATCAACTGAGTAGAGCTCAGTTTGTTTCACATAAAGTCTTTCACACATCCTGTAAGGAGATATTTCATTCTTTCAGCAATGCTCTGTTCTTCTAAGCAATGCATAGATGACCATGGGATTTGAACAATTCCAACCTGAGATTTAATTATTTTCTATTAATTACAAATAATATTTTTCTTTAACAAATTTAGCCAGGATCTGAGCTCTTGTTGAACATCCTGTTTGCAGAGGCTCCCATTGCCAGAGACAGAAATGTAAAGCAGAGCAACAGAAAACATACTGTGTAGTCATTATTAGGTAGGTTCCTGGCATAGACTTGGGCCATAAATTCAACATCTAAACAAATACTGAACAACAACTTAAAATCTAAAAATAACAACAACAACAAAAAAAGAAAAATTATCCTTTTTTTTCCCCTCTTACCATGTTGAACACAGCCATGGTTAATATTATAGCAGTTGTTGTCAATGTAAGAGTGATCCTTGGCCAAGGACGGTTTGCAATTATTCCAGAGGATTTCAGGATCCACAACAACGAAGCTGATGCTTTCTTGCTACATTGCTAAGTGCAAACAGTTTAAAAAAGGAGAAAAAAATCTTTAGTATAGTTAATTAGCAAAAACGAGGGTAGAATTAAGAAGGCTCAAGACAGGGCAGCATTGATCTAGAACCACCGTACAGAACTATCCAACTATTATAGTCTCACAAGTGTTAGAGCTCATAATTATACATGAAACTAAAGTAAAATTTAGTTAAAATATCTGCTATAATATCAAACCTGCTAAATAATTATAATTATAATCTGCAAGAACCTCATTAAGCATTCAATATGTATCACAAATAATAGCAAATACAGAGTTGACAGCAGTGTCATTACCTCTACTATCAGTAAAACCCATGAAAACAGTTAAACTGACCTGCCTCACCTCAATTGAATGATTCATATTTAGTAGTCTCTGGAAACTTAAAAATGTAGTAAATGACTGCAAAGCCTCTGACAGAGAATAAAGGTTATATACATAGATGTACCCCTGGCAGCCTACAAATTAGAAGAGTTTTTGGGGTTACTTTCTTTTGTTTGGAGTCTTGTTTGATAATTACGTAAAATATAACTCAGCAACACAAATCAACCTTCCCACGCGAATATGCATTTCATACAACTGGACTTAGAATTGGACACAACAAATATTTAGTGAATGGAAAATTTTTCTTATATAGTGGCAAAAATTAACAATTAAAAACTGTGACTTATTTAATCTGCTCCCAAGAACGTATTGCAAGGCCTCCATTCATACATGCATAGTGCCCAGAGGCACAACAGGCTCACACAGAAGAAACAACTTGTGACACATCCAATAAATACTAATTTTCACAAAACTTTAGCAATGAAGAGATAAGGTTGCCTAAAAGCATCTTCTGCCCTTTCTGAATGTCAAATTCAGTTACATGGAAACCTCTGCAAAAAAGGCAATGAAAAGTTAAGGACCATGACAGTCCCACAGAAGTAATTGCTTTTTCCAACTTGTTTTCTCTATTTACCTAACATTATCAGAGATCACTTTACATATTGTTTTCACCCCAGCCACAGCAAACAGCAGAGATACAAACAGAGGAAGGCTCCAAAAGGAGAACTCAAGCACTAAAAACTACCAAATATAGGACTTTATTTACAGCACTGATCGATTTGTTAGGTTCAATAGCTACGGCACATCATGCTAAATTACACTACTACCCAAAACACATCATGCAGTTTGCATGAAGGTCTTTGTCATACTGCACCTAACTATTTCTCTCCTAATTACACACTATTTGGACAATTCCATTATATACACAGAGTGTCTTTAAATGTATTCTTTCCTTTTATGACAGGGAGTTTTGTACACTGGATTGGACAGATTCTGAGTTCAGCTTCAGGAACAAATAATTGGAATCTCAAAGATGGACAAAGATAAGGGAGCTTTTATATACACTTTACTCCTCCCCCATATTAAAAAAACCCACAAATACATAAACTCATAGTACATAAATTCTTGCTCAAAAGTCTTTTTGAACTTCCAAACCTTGTTCTTCACCCCCAAGTACATAACAAATTTTAAGGCAATTTGAATCCACATGTAGATTTTAGAGATGTTTTGTCATCCTTCCCATTTTAATACAGTAAAAAGCACAAAGCCTCAAGTGCTGCCATTGCTACAGAAGGGGAGTGTTCCAGTGGATGCAGGGAAAGGATCTGTGTGAAAATGAATCATTCAGTTATCTGTCTAGTCTGGCTAAAACCCAATGAGTCACGGAGCATGGATTTATGGCAAATTAAAACAGTCATAAAATTGTACCTTAAATTACTCTTTGCTTTTATTATAGCTCACCTGGAGTGCTACTACAATTTCACTCACATTGTTCTGTGATTTTCTTGGCAATTTAGAAGTAGCTGGAATAGTTTAAGTTGGATTATGGACAAAACTAGTCCAGTACACTGAAAAAGCCCAAGAAATATTGAAGTGGATAAGAAATGATACAGAAAAAGTTGTACAGCATGTTCTTTCTGAATTACAGTACAGGGAGCTATACCATTCAAGGAAAGTCTTTAGGATAAGAAATTCCAAGAAAATAAGCTAATGATGAAATAAATTATCTGGTCTAAACCAGATATATTTTATTATCAATTTTAATGGTTTTACATTATCTGATGAGAGACTAATCAAATTAAACACAAAGACCTGGTGAGGATCAAAAGGACAATGACAGATGGTGGAACATCAGTGAAAAACACAAGCCACTGAATCTGCTGCTTCTAAGACCACTGAAGGAGAATGTGGCAGCCATGGTTTCTGATGGGAAACCTACCAAGAAGCCTCAATGACAAAAACTTCCTTTCCAGGATGCCCTGCAGACTAAGGGTGATTATTGCTTAAGAGGATAGTGAGCTGACACAGGACAAAGGGAGCAGAGAGAAACTTGGGATTGTGCAAAAGATTATGGTATGTTTTAAGGCCACTGTTGGTATGCGGAAAACTTAAGTGATGTTTAGGGGACAGGACACAGGAGAGGAAAGGAAGGCATAAATGTGGATCAGAGAGGAACAAAAATAGGTAAATGGAGAAGAGAAGGGATGAAAGGAAATGGCTGCAGGCGAACACTTGTCTAAATGAGTCTACTGCATTTTGTTATTAAATTCTATCTCTAAACATCTTCTGTGTAAGTACAGTCCTTACTCTGAGCCAGCATGTGTGCAAACGCTAAAAAACTTCATGCAAGTAGCACAGGATGGGTGCCAGGCACTGGAGAGAGAGGTCACATATGTGAGGCAACTGAGGGCTGGGTGCCAACAGCTGAAGTGTTTCAGACCAGTCCATGGGGAGACCCACAGGGTGTGTGGGGCAGTGTGTATTACCATTAGGAAAATCCAGACTGGACTGGTTGGCCAGTAGATCTACGTTGGGAAAGACCTAAGGTTTGAAGTCACTTTGTAAAGGGAGCAGAGTCTGGGCATAAGTATTTTAATAATTAAAATCCACATGTGCAACCCACAAATATGAGTGTGCCTTTGGATGACAACAGTCAGGGTATGTGTATACTCCACTAGCAAACTTCAGCCCTGATAAGCCAGAAAGGAGGAACTAGATGTCAGTGTTGATCGTGTTTACATGAGTGCTGCTTGTTGTTATGTGGGTACTGCAAGAGAGCTGTTCTCACCACTGAAACCGTGTGTATGGTATATGCCCATGTGCCTACTGGGAATACATGCTCAGCCTCACTGCTGGTTGTATGTGGGACATGGTATTCACAGCCTCCCACTGATGGAAGTCTTTAATTCCATCAAATGGTGCTTCAGTGGGCCAGGAAGGAGCACCCTCCAGCTCCTAAACTCCACTGGACCCAACAAGCACTGGCAAGTCTTATTTTCAATTTCAGAACCTTAAAAGCATGGCTTAGTAACAAATGCAAAACAATGCCATAAAAAAAGGTGCTTTTATATTTTAGTAGTGCTAAGCAATGTAAACTGGTGGCTTCCTCAAGTGAACAATTTATGCTATCTTAATTCTGGAGAAAAATTTAAGTTTCACACAAAATCTCTGTTGAATCCCAATATCTGAATACATGAATGTTGGCATCAAAGGACAGTGACTTTTCAGGCTCTTCTACTTTAACGTCAGTGCTTCCAACTGTAAATTTGAACTTTCCTCATTTTTTTAAAGTAATCAGTGAAAAAAATCACGTACAAAATTACTGAGGTTACTTAGCATGTCCATGCTGAGAACAACATTTATTGCTGAGGACTCCTTTACTGCTTTCTAAGTACCTGGAAAGCAGGTAGAGACTTACGTAACTTCTGTGCCAAAATTCCTTGCAATAATTCTGAATGTTCTTTGTTTACAAAATTTTTGATCAATATCACCTGACTCTGCTAATGCATTTTATAAAGGAGGAACTAACTAGACTGTTTTTCTACATTTCCTTTAAAAGTTGCTTTTCTGCTACCAAAAGAAACAAAACAAAAAGGGCAACATTAGCACTAAGAAAAGTTCTGGAGAACAATATAAATTTCAGGAAACAATATATCATTCAGCCAATGTGATTAATCAATAAAAAGAGTGCATTCTTCCTGCTATGGCTAAAATTACAGACACTGCTGGCTCTGACCTGAAGAAAAATGTGAGTGATGCTACACTGCAATTTCAAAAATGAAGTTGTCAATAGTTATTTCCACTTGTCAAACAGAAGCATAGCAGAGCTCAGTGATGTATTTCTTACCAGGCTGTTTAATGCACAGCTCTGAGTCCCGGAGAGCAAAGACCACTGTTTATTTGGTACATCTGCCATGCCTACCTAGTTTGTTAAGCCACTGAGGGTCCTGAAAGGAAAATCCATGATAAAACCCTAAAAATCTTTAAGACATTTAAGACATTCCTTGGAAAACACAAGAGAATACACTGTTGAACAGTAATTCTCTACGTGAATTACTAGATTTGCTGAACTTCATTTCACTTTTGAGCAGTCCAAATACAGTCCATATGTAGTACAACTACAGCAGTTCAGTACTGCAGAAAATTCAGGGAACCTCTGGAAGCAGACCTGGAGTGGTGGGGTGATCCTTAAATTCAGAGTCTTAATAGCACTGGCAGAATTATGCAGGTTTATTTAGCCGATTCAATACCTTAAGTCATACACTTGTTTTGGTAAATGTTATGTCGCCTTTGCAATTTTCTGCATATGGAGAATGAGATTAAGGTATGAAAGTCATCATTTCTAGAAAGCATGCAAGGAGGATAAGACATCAGATCTCAATAGATTCTGTGTTTATTCTAAGTGGAGCTGGCAGAATATGGTTCAGTGTTTATCATTTACCAACCAGAAATAATAGGCATTTGTAGTATGAGAAGTGACTAATGCATTACCTTTTCATCTGAACATGTAAAATCTGACATGACAGCTTAACATGATAGTGAGTAATAATGTATTTTGAATAATCAGGACATTGAAATGTATCCTGTGTTCTCTTTCCACACACACAAACCTACTTCAGCATTTAATAAAATGAAGGCTGTCCTTCTGAGCGAGATC